GCCGACCAAAATCAACTAACGTAAAATTCAACCAGAGGTTTCACCAGCAATAACCGGAGCTCATGCAATAAATTCCTAATCCATAGGAATTTGGTGGCAGCGTTTGCCAAGGCTCGATATTCAGCTTCGGGAGACGAACGCGAAACAGACTTCTGACGTGTGCACTTCCAAGAAATAAGATTAGAGCAAAAATACAATACATATGCGGTGGTGCAACGACTATCGGTGGTGCAGCCTCCCCAATCAGCATCGGTATACACACTGAGTGATAGTGGTTGCTCAGTACGGAGGAACAAATTGTGACACACCATACCCTTTAAATAGTGTAATAGTCGTTTAGCAGCCCGCCAATGCAACTTTGTAGGTGTATCATGTATGCATATTTGAGAAAGACGATTAACAGCGTAGGATACATAAGGTCGTTTGATGACCAAGTACTGTAACAGACCAAGAAGTCGACGAAATTGAGTGACATCAACAGGTGCACTCCTAGATTGTGCAGGAAGTAATTTGTCTATAGACGCTAACGGTGTTGAAATAGCCTTTGCACCATCCATCTTAAACTGCACCAGTATATCAGTTATATACTGACTCTGCGACAGGAACACTCCATCAACAGTTGGAAACACCTAAACACCGAGAAAATGATGCAAGGGGCCAAGATCCTTAATAGAAAATTGAGCGGACAAAGTCTTTGCCATGCATCATGACACGCCGTCGAGAGGCACTAGCATAGCTGGCAACTAGACGTTGCCATGCATAATGGGAAGTCGTAGCCGAAGAGATGAGTGGCTAGATTGTATCAGTATAGCTTCCCATATGTGCACTGACAATAATTTGGTCGTGACGGTACCAAATTAAATGGTTTGGGTTGGTGACGGTTTGAGCAGGATCAGTGAATTTGGTTGGTTCCTTAGTGAAACCGTCAATGTAGCCTAGGAGGTTAAGACCAACAATAGTAGTTCTTTTGAATAAGCCGCTCTGCAATATGCATCCGAAGTTCCTTCGAACGCATATTGTTTTCTATTTAAATAAAAAATAAAAAAAATTATATAGTGGCATTTTAATTACAAAAATGTCACCGCACCCCATTTTACTCGTCCAATGTTTAAACTTCGGACGCATATTCTTAATTTTTTTTGATCATTTTTGTACTAGTGATTCACATGATCACTTTTGACAATATGAGAAAAAGTAAAGTACATAGTAATAAATTACTAAAATTTTAGTACTCCGTATCTAATAAACAACAAACATTTATTTTTAATAGAGTTTTATTCTTCCTAAAAGGTTGAAAGATACCTTCCCAGCGCATCCCCTTGGCAGCATAAAATTCTCCATTAGAGAGTCTTATCATCCAACCCAATCCCATACAACCTTCCATCTTGACAAATCACAACTTCTGTATTCAAATTTGAAATTTTATTTTCCAAAACTAATTAGATTTAGAGATTATGTGTATTTAAGACTAATTGAAATTTTATTAAACATCTTCAATGTCACAGGATGTCATATTAATTATTAATAATTAAAAAAAAAGTATAACTTTTTAAATTGTAAAACGTAACATGCAATTTTTATGTACAGTAATTTAAAATAGTCAATTTTTTTTTTGTTATAAAATTAAAAATGTGAAGTATCCCATCAAATATATAATATCGTTACATATGATATTTATCATCATAAAATGATTAAGATTAATTGTAAAATATTTACCTTTAACTGATTGCACTTGTTCTGAAACCAAAAGTTGATCTGAATACTGTTAGGAACATGTGTATTTTTGCTTTTGATGATAACAAAAATTATAAAATTTTAGTCCCCAATTTATTTTAGACTTAGGAACTCTATTAATTTGATTCGAATAGTCCGGATAGTAATTACTTGAATAGTTACCGCTCGGAACTCTATTAATTTTGTCGCAGCTTAATTAATGCAGTTCGAATCCTTTTACATTGAAAAGATTCTCATTACCACATTTGACAATATGCCAGCAAAGCAAAGTGTAATAAAAGACTTAGACTTTACTGTGTAGTAAAGGCAAATTTCTTTTTTTTTTTTTTTTTTTTTTTTTTTTAATAATAGAGTTTAACTACATGTAATCTAGCTAGAGATGACCTTGATCCTCAATAGTGTAAAATTAATTGATTGTATTTATTACCCACGGTGTATTTCATTCTCGTAATTTCACAATTCATCTCGAAGTGTACAATTTAAAAATTTGCATCCGTTACGTTCCACCAAACCTGTATACCACTGTTGGAAATTATATAATTTCCGACCACAAGTGATATCAAAGCTAATAACAGGGTCACAAAATAGAAATAACTGATAATCTCAATAAAGAACCCAAATGTATGGTAGAGGACTGCCCGTGAAGAAAAATGTCATGTAGCCATCAACCTCCTATATAGCCTTTAGCCGAACTCAAGTGTTGTCGAGCTTGTCAAATTCTTTGCTTAATCAGTGTTGTAAGTTCTCTTTTTCACTTATGAGATTATTTTCGGTTTGCTTTTTATTGTTTTGTATGTGTTGCTTTGTTGTTTTTAGTTGAACTTGTAGTATAAATTTGCTAGTTGATTCACTTTTGGAATTTCATTATAGAGATTTACTTCTTTTTGTTCTTCACTTACACTTAAATGCATAGGTATGCTCTCTCTCTCTCTCTATATATATATATATATATATATATATATATATATATATACACTCATCTTTCATGTCTTATGTATATTGAGTGTATATATATATATATACACTCATCTTTCATGTCTTATGTATATTGAGTGTATATGCATGTGTGAGGTTTCTTTGTTGATTGCTGAAAAATCATCATTCATAAACAAAGTGAAAAAACTATCGCATTAACACAATTACAAATTACCAATTATAAAGCGGAGTAAATTAATTTTATGCAATTGCAGGATATTATTCAGGGGCTTAATGCTGAATGTGTCTTTTTTTTTTTTTTTTTTTTGTTTTTGGGTAGCGATGAAAATTTACAACTACTACCTGAGAGTTTAAACTAGGTAAACCACACTCATGTATAATTGTCCACAAACTACACATGAGAGATAAATTGCACTAGAAAGACGATGTGTAACGAATTTGACCAAAAGAATGCATAAGTTGTTTTCATCTTTATAAGTGTGACGTAAATGTACTAGTTAGTTTGGTAGTACTAGTTGACTCAGTTCGGTGCCAAATGTATTGTCATGTTTTAAAGGGTAACGTAAAAGTAATTATTATATTTACATTTAATGTACATGTGTTAATATAATTAATTTTTATGTAATCTTATTTAATGCATTTGAAGTCCTTCAATATTAAGAATATAATGTACATTCTCATTATCACTTTTGACAATGTGAAAAAGTAAAGTGTAATAAGCTATTTAAATTATTTTAAGTTATAAATGTCAATTATTTATTTTTGATATAATTTTATGACAAGTAATTTGGGTGTCGTGTCGCTTGAATGACAGTAGTTTAATTTGATTTTTTTTAAATACTCCTAGATTATGGATTGCTTAGTTTATATTGTAATTCTAAAACAAATTAAGCCAATAAAAAATCAAAAAATAACTCCGTATTAATATTCAAAATTTTCAACTGTATGAGATTACTATAATCTACATTATCCATCACAATTAATTAAATAAGATTACAATAATCTAAAATATCCGTTACTATTAATTGAATGAGATTCCTATAATCTACCGTATTCGTTACAAATAAATAAGCATAATGTCATTTAGAAATTCTAACAAATTATTCTTAATTGAAGGGAGAACTTGTGATACAGAGTTCGAAATGGCAAGCGAGCAAAAGAAGATTTTTAGCTTTTTGAAGCTTTTCGGCCAACAAACCTGCTCACAGAAATTGGTTTGTAGAAATATCCTTATTTATTTTTTATCCTTTGTGTATGTGTATGTACAAATGAATCTAAAGATGTTTAAGCTAGAATATAGCCTTTTGTGTTTTTAGATGGATAAATCTTAGTGTGTTTTTAGTTGGATAACAGAAAATTCTATTGTAAAATTTTGCTAAAGTAGCGACTTAGGCAAAATCTATCCTTTTAGGCAAGATAGACTAATCGGCCGGCTTCTTTTATTTATTTATTTATTTATTTATTTTGAATATTCAATTTTGCTCAAAACATTTGCAGCTCACGAATGTTTTTCGGCTTTGACTCCATTTTCTGCCTTCGACACCACAGTCTAAGCCACGTACCGCTAAGTTTTCAACTTCTGATCTTTTAGGGCTTTGATTCCATTGTGTGGACCATGTTTCATGCAATAATTTTCCCTTCGCTTTTACTTTTCTACTTTCTCTTTTGGTCTTTAGTGTAATTTATTTTTCCAGTAAGACTATGACGTATCATTTTTTATTTTCTATTTTTTATTTATTTTAATGGTTAAGAACTTAGGTGCTGCTCATAAATTGCGCACTGGTCCTCTAATATATTTGACAACATTGATAGGAAATTCTCATATTGTATTTGTTTTAATTACAATCTTAAGATAAATTAAGACATTATGATAAATAGATGCTCTGCATGTATATTACTTGCCATTTAGAAATATTCACAAAAACTATTCATACCCTAACCAATAAGAAAGAATATTTTATGGAATGGATTTTGGGTTGTTGTTTTCATTGTCGCTTGTTTTCTTATTCAGAATAGAAGTGTGTGCATCAATGAGGTCTACACATATATACTAATGCTTTATATATATGTGTGTGAACGATAAAATCTCTTTTATTTTAATAATTAATGATAGACAAAATAATATTTTGCTTCTGACTAAGATTGTAATTTTAAGACAAATTAAGGCACTATTTATTTATGAGTTTACTTGAAATTGTGCTTGCCTTTTTTTGTGTTTCATTGTTGCCTAAACCTAAACCTTACATTCCTAATGTTGAAAACAATTGTGTTTTTTCATCAACTTAACAAATTTAACATGTTTCTTCAAAAAGGAAATTCCCAAATCATACATGGAACTAGAGAAGAGATATCCGCGCAAGGTTGTACTCAGGAATCGTATGAAGAAAGTTTGGAATATAGAGATAACTGATACTGGAGATTGTTGTTTTTTCAAGCATGGTTGGACGAAATTCGTAGAGGATAACTCTTTCATCAATGGAGATACATTGGTTTTTATCTATGACCATCCTGCTGTGTTCGACTTCTTCGTACTTGACTCATCCGGCTGTGAAAAGATAATAATTGAAGGTGAAGAAGCTCGAGTGAAGGGGTTGAAAAATAATAATGGCAATGATGTTAATTTTCAAGATAATGCTTTTTTGGTAGAGTTTGATGTCAATATAGTCACTCAAGTTAAGAAAGACGAGGATGAGATGGATGTAGAAGAAGAGAACAATGATGTTGGCTTTCAATATCATACGTCACGTTCCAAGAGAAAAAGAAGCATTACTGAACGTAAGTTAGTTTCTCTTGATTTTCTCTTTAATTTTCATTTTGTCATATATTTCATATACTATATTTACAGAGTTTTCTTAATTTAGGTGGATCTAAGAGAGCTGCTAGAGAGAAAAAAAGGGATGCTAGTCCTAAAAAAGGGAATGATGGTCTTGGGAAAAAGGATGCTAGGGCAAAGAAAAGGGATGTTAGTAAAAAGAAAAAAAATGTCAGTGTGATAAAAAAGAGGGATGTTCGTGATCATTTTGGAGTCGAGCTTTTTAGCTCAGGACGTTTCGCTCAACCTAAAAATCCTTATTTTGTGATCAAAATCAGGCCAAGAAGACCCAGTGATCTGGTAATTATTCTACACGTACACTGCATTATATTTATTCTTAAGTTAATGCATGAGTGAAAGCTACTTTTGGTATCCGGAAAAACCTTTGTAGCTATTTTCGACCACTTTTTGCTTTCGACTTGATTTAATATCACTTTCAAGTAGGCGAAAATTCCATAATTTCCAGTTGTGTACTAATTGTTTCTTATATTAATAAATAATTCAGAATTATAATATAAATATACATTAAAATTCAAAATCCATAACAGAACTAAATATAATATATAAATACTATAGCATAATAACTTAATTGTTAAATTTTTTTAAAGGCAAATAAATATATATCAAAGCTAATTACAGGGTCACAAAATAGAAATAACTGATAATCTCAATAAAGAACCCAAATGGATGGTAGAGGACTGCCCGTGAAGAAAAATGTCATGTAGCCATCAACCTCCTATATAACCTTTAGCCGAACTCAAGTGTTGTCCAGCTTGTCAAATTCTTTGCTTAATCATAGTTGTAAGTTCTCTTTTTCACTTATGAGATTATTTTTGGTTTGCTTTTTCTTGTTTTGTATGTGTTGCTTTGTTGTTTTTAGTTGAACTTGTACTATAAATTTGCTAGTTGATTCACTTTTGGAATTTCAGTATAGAGATTTACTTCTTTTTGTTCTTCAGTTGCACTTAAAAGCATAGGTATGCTCTGTTGAGTTTGTCTCATATATGGATTAGGAATATGAGTTTGTCTCATACTAGGAGTTGGAGTGAAACGGGTAGACCCATTGTATAGGGATTAGATGCCTATAAATATATTGGTTGTATCCCTAATGGGTTGTGTCACCCCTATCACCATCACTAAGAATATAAGAATAGTTTCACTCCCGTGGACGTAGGCACATTGCCGAACCACGTAAATCTTGTCTTTCTTTACCCTTTCTGCCATTATTTTTGTTCATGTTGCATGGTGCGTGTTGCTAACCAGTGGCAACTACTGGTTAGTGGAGCATTGGGCAAGGCACACGGGTTTAGTGTGACTTTGCAGGGGCGCTGTTGTGTTGGGGCAGCGTGGATACCAGGAGGGGATATGGACCTGGTATAGGCTAGATGCAAGAGGTCAGCTGAACGGGCAGTTAGCATGAGTCGCGGCTGGTATAACAAGTCGACGGCTGAGGGCGAATGGCTTGGGACGAAGCGGTTCGTGTACATGCACTGGTAACGTTTGATGCTGCGTATGCGTGTGGCTGGCTAGTTGGGATGAGCATGGTTGTTCCTACCCATGTGTATATGTGAGACAAGTCTTTTTCTCCTAAGGGACATATTTGCTAAGGTGGAGATTTGTTGAGTTATCTTTTTCTCTCCTAAGGGACATATTTGCCAAGGTGGAGATAGTCTTTTCTCCGAAAGGGCATATATGTGAAGGTGGAGATGGTGAGATAAGTCTTTTCTCCTAAAGAGCATATTCGTCAAGGTGGGGATTTGTTGAGTTATCTTTTCTCCTAAAGAGCATATTCGCCAAGGTGGAGATTATTGAGTTTGTCTCATATATGGATTAGGAATATGAGTTTGTCTCAAACTAGGAGTACGAGTGAAACGGGTAGACCCATTGTATAGGGATTAGATGCCTATAAATATATTGGTTGTATCCCTAATGGGTTGTATCACCCCTATCACCATCACTATGAATATAAGAATAGTTCACTCCCGTGGACGTAGGCACATTGCCGAACCACGTAAATCTTGTCTTTCTTTACCCTTTCTGCCATTATTATTGTTTTTTGTTCCTGTTAATCTCAAAATGCTCTCTCTCTCTCTCTATATATATATATATATATATACCCATCTTTCATGTCTTATGTATATTGAGTGCATATGTGTGAGGTTTCTTTGTTGATTGCTGAAAATCCATCATTCATAAATAAAGTGAAAAAATTATCGCATTCATGAACACAATTAGAAATTACCAATTATAAAGCGGAGTGAATTAATTTTATGCAATTGCAGGATGTTATTCATGGGCTCAATGTTGAATGTGTGTGTGTGTTTTTTTTTTTTTTTTTTGGGTAGCGATGAATATTTACACAACCCTAGTGTTTAAACTAGGTAAACCGCATTCATGTATACTTGTCGACAAACTACATATGAGAGGTAAATTGCACTAAAAAAACGATGTGTAACGGATTTGACCAAAAGAATGCAGAATTTGTTTTCACCTTTATAAATGTGACGTAAATGTAATAATTAGTTTGGTAGTACTAGTTGACTAAGCTCAGTGCCAAATGTATTGCCAATTTGCCATGTTTTAAAGGGTAACATAAACGTAATTATTATATTTACATTTAATGTACATGTATTAATATAATTAATTTTTATGTAATCATATTTAATGCATTTGAAGTCCTTCGATATTAGGAATATAATGTATATTCTCATTATCACTTTTGACAATATGAAAAAGTAAAGTGTAATAAGCTATTTAAATTTTTTTGTGTATTAAATGTCAAGTATTTATTTTTTATATAATTTTATGACAAGTAAATGGAATTCACATTCGAACGAGAGAGAGAAGCAGAAATAAAACTTGCTTATTGGAAAATATATCTTCAGTGTTACAGATAACAAAGCATAGAGAAAGGTTATATACAATGGATAAAAAACGGGAAGAAGATATCAAGGTGGTTACAACCAACTAACAGATGGAAAGACAATAACACCCCTAACTGGTGGCTGCATGCTGGCTTGAACCGTCATCCTCCAACACCCCCCGTAAGCTGGAGCGTGTAGATTATGCACGCCCAGTTTAGACACAAAAGGACTGTTGATCTGGTTCCACATTTTGTTGGCAATCTGCCTTGGTCTAAACAGCATCTCACCACCTTGGTTGATGTTAAACCTTTTAACATTTCTGATATGTGAGCAAGAACATCTTGCATAACTCTTTTGAGAACTTGAATCGACAATATCTGCTGAGCAGTAGAGACAAGAGTTTCCAGGAAAACAATGATCTTATTTGCATATTCATTTCCCCCTTGAGAGGATCATCAGCCATCCAATTTACATTTTCTATCAGCATGAGAAGCCCATCAACCTTTTGCTTAAGCCATCCAGACAGCATCTCTTCAGCCTTATCACTGGCTTTAGTCAATGGAAACTGCCTCCTGCCCCTCTCCACCATATTGTAGAAATCAAGCTAGAAATCAGAAATCAATTGGAGAATGGCAGAAACAGATGTCATTAGAGTAGGCTTTAGCACTGAAGCATCTCCCTGAGTTCCTTTCTTGATTTTATTGGATGTGTCTGTTAACGTCAATGCTGAACTATAGCCAATTGAAGCACCACCAGCCATCATCACAATCTCAGCAGCCAATTAAAAAACATGAGCTAGAGGCAAGTATGCCACATAGACATCATTGGTTCCAAGGTTTGAGTCGATCACAGTCATAACTGCAGCCGCTGTAGCTACAATGTTGCCATGAGTTATCATAACACCCTTAGGCAATCCTGTACTGCCACTTGTATACATGAAAAGGATGCCTGCCACATTCAGAAGTGCAGTCGCAAATCCTCCATAGACAGCATTCATGTCCATGACATTCCACATAGTAGACCAGTTAATTCCCATTCCATTCAGATATGACTTGGTCACAACTCGTGTCCAATGTTTATAATCTGTAGCAAAATCTTCAGGAGCTGGCTTCCCATACACACCTGTCTCAGTACTCAGTAACCAATAAGGTGATTTCTCCAGCCTAGCAGGCCATGATTCTGGCCATTGAGAACCCCTCTCTAATTCAGAAGTTGGAACTTTGTGCATGCAAGCTTGCAAATGCACATTCCAGGCTCTTTCTTGAGCAACAATTATATTCACAAACTGATTGTCTGCAGCTTCCATTGATAGAATGGGCCTGCTACTTACAACCGCTCTACTTAAATCGGCCTTACAAACACCTCGAAGAACCTCCACCAAATTTTCTGCTGCCACCAAATTTTCTGCTGGAAAATCTCGAGGAGCAACATCAGGGAGGTGGAAAGAGTGCGCAGATGAAACGAGGAAGAAGAAAATACAGATTATGGAGATCATTTTGACCCGGCTCGATCTCCTTCGACCCATCTTCAATCCGATCCGAGATTTAGAGCAAAAATCAGAGCCTAAACTTCCACACATTACAACATTCTCTGCAGTAGTAATATCAAAACTACCAGACCGATTAAGGACAACATTTAGGCGGCAAAGAGAGAGAGACAGAGCGAGAATAAAAACTCTAATCGCAATGATCGTCTTATATATTTGACAACATTGATAGGAAATTCTCATATCGTACTTGTTTTAATTATAATCTTAAGGTAAATTAAGACATTATGATAAATAGATACTCTGCATTACTTGCCATTTAGAAATCCTCACAAAAACTATTCTTACCCAAACTAATAAGAAAGAATATTTTATAGAAGTGTGTGCATCAATGAGGTCTACACATACTAATGCTATACAAATATATACATACATATATATATATATATATATATATATATATATATATATATATATATATATGTATATATATATATATGTGTGTGTGTGTGTGTGTGTCGAATATAATAATGTGAACGATAAAATCTCTTTTATTTTTTTGTTGTCCAAAGGAATTCCTCCAGTCGATAGTCAGAAGACTAATCCCCCGTCGCTACTGTCAGCACACTAAGTAGTAGGGGACTAGCCAAATAGTTTGTGAAAATGCCCGTGTATCTTGAAATCAATTTAACACTAAAGATTCTACTTGATTTTATGTTACGAGACAATTTCGTTGTTTAATTAAATCAATTTAATCAAAGAATAAATAACGAAATTGAAAGCATAAATAAAGTAAAGACACAGTAGAATTGTTACGCAGTTCGGAGCACTTCTCATACGTCTGCGGGGCAACCCATGTCTGCCCAATCCACTATAGATGTTCACCACGGAGTATTACAAGAGTTAACTACAAACGGCTCACAACCTTTACCACTACAACTCTTCTTAAACACCTATTCAGGACTGAACCGTGCATGCCATAACCATCTTTGGTGTAGCGCTTCAGCTGTCACAAGTACTGACTTGAAGTACAGAATTAAATCACAAATATAACATAATCAATATTAAAGAAGTGATATAGGAAGCTTGCGTATGTGATTAGAATTTCAGAATTGGCAACTTCCTCTTTCGTTTTCCCTTCCTTATATACTGTACGAAATTCCATTTCTCCAATCCTTGATTGTAGCTTTCACATGTGGCTTGAATTCTTCTCAACCACATATTCTTTAATTTGAGATCTTCAGACTTGCTCTTGGTTCAACTCATTAAAGAGAAATCTCCACCACACATTTTTAGCTTGGTCCAATAATACTAATTACATCTCATACTAATTAGCATTACATACTAATAAAATAAACTAATAAATTAGCCAATCTAACGTGTACTAATTAGTACACTTACAGTTTGCTCCATTCATATGGGTGGGGCTGGGATCAAATCTCTTTTATTTTAATAACTAGTATTTTCTCCGTGCGGTGCACGGCTACAATTTAATTTGTTTTTATATTTATGTCGGCTGGCCGCTGGGAAGAGGGCAACGGGCAGCGGGCAGGTGGCGGGTGTTCGCCCCCCACCTACCCCCTACTGATACACAGGCAACTTTTCGGTCCCTGGATCTCTCGTGGAA